TGTATGTCTCTGTCTCAGTTAATTGTATGTGTTTATTTTTTTCTTTTGCAATAAACAGACAGTACCTATGAAACACGTTTATTTAAATTAGCTCGCCCTTTTACATTTACATCTCTACTTAAAGCTACTGTCAGAATGCAGCACAATCTCTCTGCCTTTGAATGACAGAAAAGGTATTTGGGTATAAACTCAACACATTTTGCTTCTAATGACCATGAGCCTGTCAGAAAGCTTCATCTGGAACCAAATGAATAAAGCCTTTTGTTTTTAACTCATGTTGTTCTGCAGCAACTCTATGAGGCTCTTGTTGTAATCGACCACCTGTTGGGAGACGCTCTTGGCGACTGAGGCGTAGTCGCTCTCCTGGGATTTGGAGGCGATGACTGACGCTGCAGTTAAGGAAAAACCACAGAGCTCACAGAACTGGTGTCTCAGAGACCAGAGGTTTATAGAAGACAGAAACCGGGCGTCTTTTCGAGAGCTGGAAAATAAAAATAACTGTATGCACACATCTGACAAGTACTGCTCCTTTAATTACCTCCAAAAGCTACCAAAGCTGTAAAGAACTGGTCCTAGTGTTTAAAAAGCTCACTTTCTCTGGATGCTGGAGACTGAATAGAGGTGTGGATGAATTCATACGTCATATTTCTAAAGGATACATTCTTTCATCACAAAATTGTTCTGCTCCAGGTGCTGCCATTTCCTCTCCAGGTTAGCCAGCTAACGTTCAGACACAAAGCAAAACAAAACAGGAAGGCAGCTGGTGAGGAGGGTCAGAAGATTCAGTCTGTTCCCCGTGTACCAAAACACGACTAACCTGAGCGTGAGTCTCGTTTTCTTGCAGTTTGGTCTTCAGGGCTTCATATTTCTGGCTCGTCTCCTCCAGCAGCTGTCCAAATGCATCTCGACGCTGAGTCAGCGACACCTGCTCCTCCTGCAGCCTCTGCAGCACAAGGAGAGAAAACAAAGAATGGTCAGTTCATTTTTTAAAACGGAGCTCCATCATTGAAGCTCTCGGGGACAGTGGTGAGAAAGAACTCCCTTTAACAGGAAGAGAAGAGTTTGCAGTTACCTTCTTCCTCTCCTCAGCTGTGAGCCTGAGGGTGTCCAGGTCCCTGTAGGTATGCAGCTCAGCCTGCATGGTGCTGACGCGCTCCTGCAGGCTGCTCAGCTCGCCTGTGATCTTCCCCTCCAGCTGCTGCACCTTCTCCAGGTCCTGCTGCAGGCGCTGGGACTCTGCAGGGGCAGAGCAGGGGCTTTGTTCAGTGCTCGTGTTGTCGGGACATAATAAATGAATGTGATCTCTTTAGAAGTGAGGGAAACCCGACCGTGTGTGTGTCACCCACCTGTCGTCAGTCCTCTAGCGGTGCTCTCTGACTGGACCACCTCGGTCTCCTTGCTCACCAGCACTTCCTGCATGTTCCTCAACTCGCTGGCTGTCACTGTGTCCACCTGACGGAGCCGCAACATGTTCTACAAAGACACGCACAGTTAGTGCAGTGGACCACTCTGTGTTTGTCCATTTCATCAGCGCTGCTCACCCTGCTGCAGTGCTCCAGGAGTGAGACAATGTTCTCCTGGCCCTGCTTTAATCTCTCCTCCTCCTGAGCCCTGGACTCCTCAAACGACTCGAGGAACCCTGAGAAGAGGACAGAGGTTATATCTCTCCGTTAACTGTTGTATGTGTTCATTTTTTTCTTTTGCAATAAACGCACACAGTACGTAAGAAATGTTCTCGAATGTCACAAGTGTTCAGTTCGACTGGGACTCACGGTCGATCTCCTCTTCCTTCCTCTTCAGCTCTTTGTATTTTTGTTGACACTCGCCTGTGGAAATGTTCAGAATATTGAAATCAC